CTGCCTTCGGGGCCACGCACTGTGTGAGGGGTATGCTGAAATTGGCACGCGGAGGGCAGAGGCATGGATGGAGAGGAGGGAGGAAGAGGTGAGGAAGAAAGGGAGGTGAAGCGCGGCGCTGTCTCGTCAGAACGAAGACCCAACACCACAGGATGGTCGGGAAAAACGGGAGAGGTCGACGCCGGGCCTGGGGGAACCCACTGGAGTCCCCGTAGACGGGCGGGGCGGTCCAAAGCTGATGAGGCCCCCAAGGATGGGAAGAAACAAGTAGCACCCCGCGGTTGCGGATAAGAGTGAGGGGGCGGGCAAATCGGTGCGTCACGGGGTGGGTCGCGGGTGGGTCGCGGGTTGGTCGCGCATGGGCCGTGGGCCGGGTCGCGGGTGGGTCGCGGGTGGGTCGCAGGTGGGTTGTGGGTGAGTCGCGAGCCGGGTTGCGGGCGGGACAAAGACAACAACAACCAATAATAACAATAACAACAACTTCAACAACAACAGCAACAACAACAACAACGACAACAATTACTAGCACGTGGGGACACTCCGTTCTCACCAGTGCCAGGGTTTTCATAGGAGGCCGGCAATACCCCCACTTTGTGGGGGGGCCGGTTCAAGCTCTACCAAATTTCCAAACGACTCTTCGCCACCACCCACACCCAGCTTCCCGCCCTATGACGTTCGGACACTTCACTTCGTGGCATGCGGACGACCGTGGCTACTATTCAGGGCCCCGCGGCCGACGACGACGGCGTGCGCGCGCGAAGAAAAAACGAATGTGTCCCGCATGGTATTATTTGACAGGGATGATGGCCCTGGCAGGTGCGCAACCGTTGTTGCAGAAGTTCGAAAAAGTTGCTCGCAAAAGCCCGTTTGACAGAAATGTTTAAAAAGTGTTGGGTTTCCTACGAATCCGCAAGAGCGCGCGGGATGAAATTTTGACAATTTTTTTTTGAAAAACCATTTTTTTTTTTTTTTTTTTTTTTTTTTTTTTTTTTTTTTATGTTTTTATGTTAAAATCGCTACGAAAACTAAGGTTTTGGAAGGATTTCGTCTTGCGCGCGCGAATGTCCACTTTACCTTATTTTTTGCAAGGGATTCTTGAAGTTTGGATATGTTAGAACAAGAAATTCATTTATAGTGTTTTTTGCAAGGGAAAGCGGGCGTAACAAAACAACCGGATCTGGATGACATCGTTTTACCTGAGGCTTCCTCACGAAAATGATGAAAACGTGGCTGCGGCCTAGGCGCGGCGGGGGGGGCGTGCACCAGGGGGCCCAACAATAATTATTCTTTAGAAGTAATAATATTCAACAATAACAACAACAGCAACAGCAGCAGCAACAACAGCAGCGACAACAACGACAGCAACAACCACAACAATCATTTAAGACTGTCCACTCTTACTAGCACGCGTGTTTTGCATTCTGTATACCCCAACCCTCGATACCCACCCACTTCGTCTTCGACCGCACCCCCTTTCCAAGGGAAATCTTCCTTGTCGGCCATTGGCCGCAGTGCGCAGAACTCTCGAGCGAGAGCGCCGTTCCTGAGTTCGGGGGCCTTTCTGGCCAGGCCAAAAAATGTCGGAGTACATTTTAGGAAAGATCGAACGGGAACCCTTGCCGCCGTGTCTGGACCTTCACCAACTTGCCTGAATTACGAGAAATTCTCGAGCGAGGGCGCCAACCTTGAGTTCGGGGGCCGCTCTGGCAAGGGCCTTTGCGAATACATCTTGAGGAAGTATCGAACGATAGCCCTTGTCGTCGAAGTTGGGCCTCCACCACTTTGACTGAGTTCGAGGGACATCCTGGCCAGGGGCTCTCGGAGTGAATCGCGCGGAAGTATAGAGAGGAGCCCTTGTCGTCGTGGCTGGGCCTCTGCCAGCTTGACTGCATTGCGAGGAAGCCTCAGGCGAGAGCGCCGTTCCTGAGTTCGGGGGCCTCTCTGGCCAGGGTGTCTCGGGGTGAATCGTTCGGAAGTGTCGAGCAGGAGCCCTTGTCGTCGTGGCTGGGCCTCCACGGGCCCACTTTTACACTCAAGCCAACGCTCGCGCGGGAGCCTCGTTTTCAAAGAAAATGTAGCCAACGTCGACGCGAGAGATCGCGGTTCTGGAGATCAGCAATCATCATTCTCTAGAACTGAATGTTCAATAACAACACCAATCATTTTGTGACCGTTCGCTGATATCTGCTCACGTGTCAACCAACCCTCGGTATCTGCCCTCGTCGTCTTCGATCGTACCCTTGGAGGTATATATTCCTGACCTGCCACGTGCACTTAGTGCAGAACCTAAAACAAAGGAAGAGAGGACGGGTGGAAGGGGGAGGGAGAAGAATGGAGCACGGGAGAAATTTGCAGGAGGGGGGCAAGGAGCAGAAAACAATAGGTAGAGCCGGACGGGCAGGTCGGGTGGGCAGACCCATAGCTGGCAGGTCGGGAAGGCGGGCCCAGACGACCATGCCGAGCAGGCGGGTTGCTGAAGCGTGGCTCTTGCATGAATCGCGAGGAAGTCTCGAGAGATAGTGCGATTCCAAAGGAAATCGCAAGAAAAGCCAAAGCGAGAGCCTCATTCCTGAGCGCCGAGGGCGCATCGTCTGAATAAATTGCGAGGAAATCCCATGCGTACATGAATTGTAAGGAAGTCCCGCGCGAGAGCGCGATTTGGGAATACATTGTGAGAAGGTATCAGGCGGGAGCCGCTGTTGTTGTAAACCGGGGGCCAGGGGCCCAGCTTGAGCCCTGTGACTTTCCAACATAATAGAACAGGGTGCCAGCCCTGAGGAAACACTTCACTTGAATAAACACAATGGTCACCAGAGGGGGGATCAAACACATACATTCTTCAGTAGTGAGACTTCAACTGCAACAAGATCAACAGCAGCAGCACCACCAACAACAACAACAACAACAACAACCATTTTAAGGCTGTACGCTCTTACTTGCCCGCGAGTCATTCAACACGTATACCCTACACCCTCGATGCCCGCCCTCTTCGTCTTCGATCACACCCCTTTCGGGGGGATTATTTCTCTTTGCTGGGGCCGGCGGGCTTAGACGTACGGGCAAACCGGAACGGGCGGACAATCCTTCGGGGGCGTACATCTCTCTGCCCGCCATTGGAATTGGCGCGGGCCCTGCAAGAGGAGGAGGGGAAGAACGAGGGAGAGTGGGAGGAAGGGGAGGGGGAAGGACGAAGGAAGAGGGAAGATACCACGTTGTGAAGGCGTCCTTGGCGCGTGCGTGGTTCCTGAGCGCCGAAACGCAATTCCAGAATAATTTGTGAGGACGTCGCACGCGAGAGCGCAGTCCTGAGTACATTGTGAGGAAATCTCGGGCGGAAGCGGGGGCCCTGACTAAGTTGCGAGGAAGTCTCAAGCGGGAGCGCCGTTCCTGAGCAAATTGCACGGAAGTCTCAGGCGGGAGCGGGGGTCCTCACTAAATTGCGAGGAAGTCTCAGGCGGGAGCGCCGTTCCTGAGTCAATTGCGCGGAAATGTCAAGCAGGAGCGGGGGTCCTGAGTAAAATTCGAAGAAGTCTCAGGCGGGAGCGCCGTTCCCACGTAAATTGCACGGAAGTCTCAGGCGGGAGCGGGGGTCTTGATTACATTGCGAAGAAGTCTCAGACGGGAGCGCCTTTCCTGAGTAAATTGCGCGGAAGTCTCAGGCGGGAGCGGGGGTCCTGAGTAAAAATCGAGGAAGTCTCAAGCGGGAGCCGTTGTTGTTGTAGCCCGGGGGGCAGGGGCACAGTTTGAGCAGGAAGCCTTTCCTTGAGAAAAAACAAAGTGCGAGCCCCGGGGGTGGCACTTCAATCGAAAAAAATCAATTTGCACCGGTGGGGGGGGATCAACAATAATTATTCTTCAAGAATGAGAGTTCAACAACAACTGCGGCAGCAACAACAACCACAACAACAACAGCAACACACATACCAACAACAACAACAACAACAACGATAACGACAACGACGACGACGACGGCAACGACGACAACCCCAACAACAATACCAACAACAACAACAACAACAATCCGCACAGCGGAAGCCCACTTCAGCAACGAACCCAGGGAGATTGAATGACCGTTCGGCCCCCTCACTCTGACCAGGCTGAATTTATATTGTTTGAAGCCCCTCGTCCTTGGTAGGGAGACAAGAAGATTCGAGACTCCGATACCGCTAATTACTCCCTGGACCTCTCGCGCGTGCTCAAATTCTAGAAGCGAATCCAGCTGTGGCGACGAGGGCCTCCCAGGAGTCCCCAGAGGCGACGGCGAGCGCCGATGCCTTTCCCAAACATTGGATGTCTCGTTTTTTCAATAGCTACGGGGTTCCTGGAAGTCCCGACCTTTTTTGGGCGCCCGAGTTATCCGGGGTAACTCGGGTCCGGGGTAACTCGGGTTTGGATTCCCGGAAAAGGAACCCGAGTTAGCCCTGACCCGAGTTACCCCTGATGATGTGGGGCTCTGGACGCCCGAGTTATCCGGGGTAACTCGGGCCCGGGGTAACTCGGGTTCGGATTCCCGAAAAACGAACCCGAGTTAACCCTGACCCGAGTTACCCCTGATGATTCGGGGCTCTGAACGGGGTTCCCGAAGTCCCGACCTTTTCCCAAGGCTGGTTTTCCACCGCAAGTCGCTTTAGGACAATCCTGGAGCCCGGCGAGGGCCGCCCGAGGCCGACATCGCCAAGACCTACCGCCACGTGTTCCGACGACGCCGGCACGTGTCTGACTCGGCGCCCATGCTTCAGGGACCCATCTTTGACTACCTACCAGACCACCCCAACCCAACCCGAAGACCCGAATTTCGGGTTGGGGGGGTACGGGTTCCATGTGTGTTTTCTCGATGCTCCCCGACCCCCCCCCCACTGGAAATGGAGGTCAATTTGAGGCCTTCGGGTTGGGTTGGGGTGGTTTGGTGGGTGGTGAATCTTTGAACCGCCGCACTCAGCGGGACGACGGATGCACTCGCGGCGCTCTGGGCGCTTCAAGGAGCGGCGCGTCGAGCAGCCTCACAGCCAGCACTCGAGGTGGCACGCGACCCTCGCCCGGAAGCACTGCCAGCGGCTGGCCTTCGCCTCGGCCTCTAGCCGGGGCGCCAGCGCCTGCGCACCTGTGGGGCCCCAGCGCGGTGCGGTGGCACCCCGCTGGCGCGGGGGCCCCGAAGTCCGCGAAGGACCTCGCCGCGCGGACCGTAGCCGCACCACCTTGAGGCCCTTGGACCCAGACATCCCGCCGCTCCAAACTTCTCGATGCGTGGACCCCTGCCCCAGGGCCGGTCTTTCATCCTGAATCGTTTCGTGGCGGTCCCGAGGCCGGGCGAGGGCTCACGGAGTTTTTTGTTTTGTTCTCTCTTTCTCGGAGCGTCGACTCTCCGGGAGGCTGGACACGGCCCAAACCTGGCCGCTCCAATTTTTGCCTGCGCGTCGGACCTGTGGGGAGGCCCCAGGTCCCCCCGAGACGCCCTCGGACCACGCCCCGAGCCCCCAGCGCACCGGTCGGGTGGCCCTGCCTGCGTCCTCCCCGAACCCACACTCAAGAGGGTGAGGGCGACGTATAGGGACGAAGCGGGAGGGGAAGCCAGAATGCCACGGGGAGGCGGGAGGAGGGAGGGAGGGAGGACCCCCCCCCCCCAGATCTCCGCAGAGGTCCATGAGAGCATCCCAGCGGGGAGCCACATGCGAACCCTATCCCTATATCCCCCACGACTTCTGAGGGGGAGGCCGGGGCTCACGTCGTTAGGGAGCTCCCGAGCGAAGTGAACCCCTCCCTCCCCCCCAGAAATCGTGGGGGGGTAGGGGTATAGGGTTCGCAGGTGACCCCTGCCCAGAGCGCCCGCCCTGGCCCCTCCCCTGGCTCTGCCCGCTAAAAACAGGGCTAGGATCGGGATAAATCGCTCCAGAGCGTTCCGGAGCGCTCTCAAAGCGTTCGGGAACGCTCTGGAGCGGCCGCGGCGCCCAAGACATCCTCCAAACCCGCCGATTCTCAGAGATTTCGAGTCATCCCGATCCGATTTTGTCCCGATCTTCAAACCCGCCGATTCTCAGAGATTTCGAGTCATCCCGATCCGATTTTGTCCCGATCTTCGCGTCGTTTTACCCGCGCCCTCCAGGCACCCCGCGGCAGGTCCACCACCAGGGCGTCGGCCGGGATCGGCGCGCCCGTGGCCGGGCTGCCGCTCTCCCCAGCCTCGCCCGCGCCCGCGAGCGCCGGCTCGGGCTCCGGCTGGCTCTTGCAAGACTCGCCTGTCGGGTCGGGCGAAAACGGGGGATAGCAAAGGAGGGGTTTGAGAATCAGCTCACGTAGCTGATTTTCCCGGCGCCTCCCGGCGCCGGGAGGCGCCCATGTATCGAGGAGTGGGCCCCATCGGCGGGGCCGAAACCAGCTGCATGCAGCAAATTTCGTACCCCCCCCCCCCCTTTCGTTCGGCTCGAGCCTGTCGGTCACAGATCCTGGGGGCCCGGTGCCCAGACCCCCTCGCGCGGCGAAGAAATATCACAGCGGGAGGCTTTTCAATAGCTTCAGCCTCTGGAGGCTCTCGCCGGGCCTCGGGACCGTCGGAAAAGGACTCGGGGCGAGGAACGGATCCCCTGGAATGGGTCCAGACCTCTGGGGGTCGACGTTGTGGAACAATCACGACGTCGGGTGTTTGGGTATCCTCTTAATTCCGTCTTTCGCGTCGACTCGCGTCGATTAGCGTCTGGGAGTCGATGAGACAGCGCCGACTTAGCGTTCATTTAGCGTCGACTAGCGTCGATTCGCACGAGCCGACAAGATGGTATGGGAGGCTCCCATGATTTGTCACCGAAACACCTCCCTCGGGGTCTGCTGCGGCGATCTGCCCGCCACAGCCGGTCGCGCCGCTGGCCTGCGACGAGACGGAGTCGCGCGCGGAGGCCAGCTTCACGGGGACCACGGCGACCACTTGGCCGCAGCTAGTGGCGCCGCTGACCTGCGACGAGAGGGAGTCGCGCGAGACCGCGGAGGCCAGCTTCCCGGCCCTCTCCCGCGCCCGCGCATGCGCCCGGCGCAGCTTCCTGCGCGCCATCCGCAGCGCCACCAGAGGTGTCTGGCCAGCTCTTGACATGCTCTCGTACAGGTCGCTGATGGGGTGCCCGGTGTTGTTTTTGCCTGTGCGGTACCACTGGTCTATCAGTGACCAAGAAGCCACTGCAATGATCGGAATGCGAACGAAATCGATGACAATCTCAACGAGCTCGTGCTTCCGGACGGAATCGACGCCTTGCAGCTTCAGGATGCCGATCGTCAGGTTTATGGGGATGCCGGTGAACTGAATCCAACCTCGGTAGAACAGCTGCTCGTTCCCGTGGCCTCCGAACATCCGGTGAGGATAGAAGAACTGGAGGAACAAGGAAATCCCATTGCAGATCATCTTCACGAGGTTGAAAATCTGCATGATACGAAACTTGCGCATACCGCTGGACCAAGCCTCGGTGTCGCAGTGGTCCCATATCCAATGCTTGCCACACGGAATCGAATGGACTAATAGGAGGGCCTGGCCCCAGCTGGCAGCGCCACGCAGGACAAACATCCGGGGATCGGCCGTGCGCCACTGCCACACCAGACTCGCAGAGGCCGTCAGCTGGCACACCACCACGAAAGGCTTGTGAGGAATGTCGATCCCTTGCTCCACCAGCACACACGTGGCCGAAGCTTGGAGGAAGGAGGTGATGCCCCGTATCAGGAGGTTCCTGTGGCCCTTGCTCCACAGGAAGGACCGCATGACCTGCGAGAAGCTGACCTGCGAGAAACTCACCTGCCGGAAGAGCTTGCCGCTCGAGTCGGACGACGGGCTCTGCGGCGAGCACTCGGACCCGCCCGCCTCCTCGGGGCCGAGCGCGTGGCCCTCGGCGGAGCCGCCCAGGCCGAGGTCGGCCGCGGAGGCAGCGGCGTCTGGCGGCGCCAGGCCCGCGGGTGCGGACGCGCCCCTGGGGAGACCGGAGGACACAGGGCAGTTTTTACTACATAGGATACAGGGCAGAAGCAACTCGACCCTTGAAGTCGGAAGGCGCTTGAAGCAGATTGAGATCTGGGAATCCAAAAAACACTACTTTCAACGACCGAGAGGATTTGGAGTTCCGAAACGGTGCGGTGACAGACCGTGCGGTGACCTCGAACCCCCCCCAAGACCTCACCGCACGGTCGGTCACCGCACGGTCTTGGGACCCCAGAGGCCCCTGCCGCCCGAGACGTCCTCGGAGCACGACCCGAGCCCCAAAGCCGTGCGGTGACACCGCATCCCCGCCAGCTCACCGCACGGTGTGGTCACCACAACGTCTGGGGGCACCCGAGAGGAGGCAGTGGCGAGAGGGCACGACAACCGCCTCGAAGGGGGGCCGCTCCTAGGGGGCCACATGCGAACCCTGCCCCTAACCCCCCACGATTTCTGAGGGGGAGGCTGGGGCTCACCTCGCTCGGGAGCTCCCGAGCGAGGTGACCCCCCCCCCCCCGCAGAAACCGTGGGGGGCAAGGGTAGGCTTTTACCAGCCTGGAACATATCCCTATCCCTATGCTAGCCACCTCCTCATCACGATGCCGATTTTAGGGATTCCCTTAGTTTTTTCAGGGCGAACCCCTAAGATTGTCATCGCCTTTTGGCGTGTCAATCTTAGGGATAGGGATACGTTCGAGGCTGGGTAGGGTCCGCATGTGGCCCCCTAAGCTCTGCCCACCCCCGCTGGCCCCACCACCGCGGCACGGGGCCCCCTGAGGCGAGCGGGCGAGCGGCACGCGGCGCGCCCGAGGCCTCCCGGAGCGCACGGGGTCGTCGTCGTCGTCGTCGTCGTCGCCGCCGTCGCCGTCGTCGTCGTCGTCGTCGTCGTCGTCGTCGTCGTCGTCGTCGTCGTCCCTGCCTCCCTCCCTCCCTGCCTCCCCCCCTGCCTCTCCCCCTCCCTCCCTCCCCTCCCCTCCCCTGCCCCCCCCCCCCTCCCCTCCGCTCCCCTCCCCATCCTCCCCCCTCCCCCACTCCCTCCCTCCCTCCCCCCCACCCCTCCTTCTTCCCTCCATCCGATGCTCCGACGGTGCACCAGCTACACGCCAGTCGGAAGAAGCAGGTAAAACCATGTAGCAGGAAGGCGGATAAAGCAAATTGGGTCTGGGCCCGCCCAAATAATGACAAGCAACAGTCAAACCATCTCGGTCCTTGAAGCAGGAAGGCGCTTGACGTAGATTGGGCTCTTGGAAGCGTTGAGCGCATCGGGGACGTCGGCGATGCGGCGCGATGCTCCGACCCCGTCTGCTACTCCGACCCCCCCTCGCTGGGAGGCATCGAACCCTGAGGCCCGATGATGCGACACCAAATATCTTGCAGCAACGCGACAGCGTACAGTGGAGGCTGGTCCACAAGAAACCGTCCTCAAGAAACCCAGCCCTCGGACCTCAGGACGTCCATGGATTCTGGGTATGGAAGCGTCGCGCCCTCCATCGCAGACCCATCGAGACCCAAGAAACCCAGGGCACCCTGGAGGCAAGCGGGGTGCTTCTTGGCATGGGCCCCCACTGTAGCCTGGGACCTCTCCCGCGGAAGAGGAGGAGGAGGAGGACGAGGAGGAGGACGAGGACGAGGAGGAGGACGAGGACGAGGACGAGGAGGAGGAGGAGGAGGACGAGGACGAGGAGGACGAGGAGGACGAGGAGTACGAGGAGGCAGAGACGGGGGCCTCGCTGGGGGGGGTGGCAGGAAACCGGCACGACTTCGAGGCGGACCCGGGCCGCGTCGACGGGGGGCCTCACGGGCTTGCCCAGGGAGGCCACAGCGAGGCGAGGCGGCATTGGCTGCGAGGCGGGGGGGGCACAGTGCAAGCCCCTGCCAAGAAGCACACCGCTTGCCTCCAGGGTGCCCTGGGTTTCGTGGGTCTCGATGGTTCTGCTGCTTCCCACACCCAGAGATATCAGTGGACGTCCTGGGGTCTCAGGGTTGGGCTTCTTGTGGAAGGTTTCTTGCGGTCGAGCACCTCCTGTCAGGTCGGGCATGTCCTCCTGCAGGCGGATTTTGGCGTATTTTGTCATTCAAAAAAAGAGCCAGAAACCTATTCGAAACATAATTTAAAAACAAATCGTCCGACGTGCCCGACTTAACCCTACTGTAACCAACGCCTTGGTGACGTCTTCTCGGGGACCGGGGCAGTCGGTGCAGGCTCCCGAGAGGCCCCCACATGCCTCCCCAGAGGCCCGCGAGAGCCGTCCGAGGAGACCCCAGGACGCATCCCTGAGAGGACTCGGGCCCACGTCAGCGCCGTCGTCGTCGCCACCGCCGCCGTTGACATTGTCGTCGTCGTCGTCGTCGTCGTCGTCGTCGTCGTCGTCGTCGTCGTCGTCGTCGTCGTCGTCGTCGTCGTCTCGTTTCAGGGTCGGCGGCACCGGCCGTCAGGCCTTCGCAATCTTCGGGGGCCTGGGCAGTCGGAGGACGTGGATGTATCTGGGCCCGAGTATGTATGTGTATTTATGTATATAGGTATATATGTATACATGTATATATATATATATAGATATGTTTATCCATTTCCACCGCTCGCCAAGGCTTCCGAAGATCGGTCCCAAAGACAACGGCATGGACAAATGCCAGCCTCGGAGAAGGCAAGTGCAGCAACATCCGTGCCTCAGATGCTCGTTCTGGGGACCTTTCTGGAGCCACTCGCTCCACTCTTGCGTCGATGCTGCGTCGAACGCCCGCCGACTTGAGTCGAGCTTGAGTCGAACATGACTTGAATTAGAGTCGAAATAGAATCAAACTCGAATTCAATCCGGTCCGAACTGGAGTCGAACAGGTCGGTGAGGTCCACCCGGGAAGGCCCCGAAACGAACAGCTCCTTGGAAGCGGCCAGGGGTTCTGAACTGGATGGGCCCCCGAGAGCGTCTGCCACGACAGGGGCATGGGACAAATCCCTTCAGCATCCGCCCCCCGGCCCCCTCTCATCTGGCCTAAAGTCGGACGTGTCCCCCTACATGGGGATTTTCGACGAAAAATGACAAATACCCCAAAAATGCACCAAAAATGCAAAAAAATGTTCAAACAATAGTCCTCAGACAATGTTTGGACTATCTTTTGACCATGTTTGGGGTATTTTTTATTTCCCGTCGAACATCCCCCTGTAGGGGGACAGGCCCGACTTACATCTGGCGCAAGTCGCCACCCCCGATCCGCCCTTGACGGCCCCGAGGGCACGACCGCGGCCCCGGGAGCCGAGAGAGGCAGCAGACCTTTCCGAGCCCAGAGGCCTCGAACCTCGCCCCCCACTCCCGCTCGCCAGAGCCAGTGTTGGGTCGGGCAGGTCCCCCTACAGGGGGACCTTGGGTGAAAAACTACAAATATTCCACAACGCCCCCAAACAGCAACAACCACAAAAACAAAAAAACAAGTCGCCCCCAGACTTTTTTTTGTTTTACTGTGTTTGACTGTAGATTGAGCAGGCACCGACCGTCCCCGCACTCCTACAGTCCTACCGCGAAATGTTCTTAGAACCCAAAAATGTTCTAAGAACAAGGGTTCTTAGAACATCAACCCACTGTGAGAAAACAAGACAGCCCCAGCCAGAAATGTTCCAAGAACATCTCGTGAAAGCCACAAGAGGTTCTTAGAACATTGTTTCGTAGGACTATAGTGAAGGGGCCCTGGGACACACAAATAAATACACACAAATAAACACATTCCCCATAGTTTTCCATAGTTGTTGGTTTTGTCTTCCCCCCCACTTCCCATGTTTTCCCATATTTTCTGGAGAATGGACGATGAATTGTGTCTGTGTGTTTCTTTCCCTCCTGCTATAGGCGAGCCAGGACGCTTCGCCACTGCCTGAGCGGAGGGACGGGCCCGACTGAACACCCGGGCTGGGCCACCTCGCGCCCCCAGGCGGCTCCATGACGAACGAGCAACACACACCCATACCCATAGGGGGGTCGTTGAGAGGAGGACTGGCTATGGGTATGGGTGCGGGTTGTCGGACCCTTGGGAACGCTCCCGTTCGAGCGGGGATCCCCATCCGACAACAAGCACCCATAGCCCTCTCCGACCCCCCTATTATGGGTGTGTGTTGTTGGTTCGTCACTCCAGGCGGCCCGGTCGGGCGCGAGGCGCCCGTCGGGCCCCGCAGCGCCCGACCGCGTGGCCGGCCAGGGGACGAGCCGAGCCCGGCCGCCGGCGCGCACGGCGGGGGGACGGACGGTGGCCGAGCACAGCGGGCAGCGGAGCACGAGACAGCCATGCTGCCAGAGATCCCCCCCTAGCACCGCCACGAGGAGGAGGGGGAGGGGGAGGAGG